CATTGCCATTGATACGTAAAGATAGAAGCGCCACTATTTTGACGCTGATAGCTGAATCCATTATACAGTGTTATCTACTCCCAGAAGCTTAAAAGACCGAAATTGTTAAGGCATGTAACAGACTAAGCTATTGGTCCTACTAATGAGAGGATGAAAATTCACATGAGTAAACAAATGATGGCTGCTATGATATGCGAACGAATCCCACAAGAACTCGAGTGACACATTATGCTGAATAAATGGTGAAGCCGGACCGGTAGCTAAACTTTAGCGCAGTCTTTGGTGCTTGAGTATTATATATGCTGGCTAAACCACCGCGCACGTGAATGCGGTAGCAAAAATAATGGGCACGGAAATCCATGAAAAAGACGCAGGAGCAACAACAACTATTATCGGGAATTCAGAATATTATTTCATAATACAAATCGATAGGCCAAAGAAATGGGTTCGCATAAGGCGTATATAGTGAATATTTTGTAGTGACAAGCATGGGGCTGCCTTATAGGAGACAAAGGGCATTTTTAAGTTGATAGTAACAAGACATTCGGGAACAAATCTCATATTTTTAACGTTGAATAAAGAATTTAAATAACAAACCTCAGCTCCAACCGCAAGCGACGATAACATCCTCGAGTCCGCTCCCCAATAGAAATAGGCAATGTGAAATATATCGATCGCTGCCAGTAGACAAATAAGAGCTGGATTGAACATTATGGAGGAAAAATTTAAAGTGTACTTGTGATTCTCAAATGAAATGACAAGGTTATGACGGGCGTTCGTTCCATCTAAAAAAGTGACGGATTTCATAGTGTTTGCTTACGTTTTCGATCCGTTCCTCAAGAAGCCAGTGGAACGTTTTCACGAACAAAATTATTGTGAATAAAAACATAAACTTTGTGTTAAGCTCATCCTGGAAAAACGCAAACACAAGACACATGTCGAAAAACGTGTACCACGCTCGTGAAAGTATGTTCTGCAAAAAAAGTTAATCAGAATATTGCACTACTTACGTCAACCTCGGAACGCTGGAGTGTGCCAAAAAATATCCAGCAGACGAATTTGGCAATCATCACGAGGAACGTAAGGCACTGGGCCAGTATCACCTGAAATTTTCGAGGATATATACCGAACATACCGCGAAAAATGGTCGATACTTTGCTAGATATATTACGGCAGGAAAGAATTGCTTTTTCTGATAAAAAGCATTTCCAATTATACATGATGTGGCCGCAAATAAAGTCACAAGAGCTACTGCGCCGTGCCTCATCGCTGGTACCGCTGAAGTACGAAAAATGCAGGGAATACAAGAACTGGTTGAAGACTAAAATCAGCAGTGAACAAGTCGGCTAAAAACTAGGAGACGGAAAACTGACCAATCACAGACATGAAGACCTTCCAATAAAACTATAACACAATGACGTATATTCATGTAGCTAATGGTTATACAGACTTCGATTATATTATGAGCTGGAATAAGCTTTGTTCTCTTTTGTGACGGTATGCACAGGTTACGAACTAACAATAACAAACTATTCATAGGCAGCCGGTATGGTTTTATGGAAAATAAGGAATTCAACTATACGTAGCAGAGACACAAGTGGGCGGTAGCCAGGTCCTTATTGCATGGACAAAATTGTTAGGAAGGGATTCTCTTACAGCGAGAAGTACATCTCAGTCCCCTGCTCGGCAAGAGTAAACATATGACAATGCTGTGGGAAAATGTGCCCTGTTTTCAGCGCCAGAAGAGAATAGATGGCCAGCACCCTTATCGCCGCGTTTAATTCGTTGAATGATGCACTGACTTGTGGGCTCTTGGCCCTACTTGTGCGTTGTTTAAATTTATCAATAATCAATT